GTTCTGTGTTTCATGCAAAAAGGCCGTCTATCCAGAGAGTTCAGCTGTACTTTATTCAGCTATTTTAACGATCACCTCGGCCTCCATATTGACTTCCTCCAAACCCTTTCCCAGCATACCTAGCGATACCTGCTAGGCTACGGCAGGTGATAAGGGACAGAAACCTACTTTGCATCCATAATACAACATCTAGCAGACGACTTTATCCAAGCCTCTGATTGAAAGACAAACCTGTGGGTCTGCAGTGGAGGATTTTTCACTCTCTGGCTCTACCTGCTGGTTTCTATCTGTTATTATCAGGGTGTTATAAATCAGTGTCCTTTCTGTCTGTCTCTAAATGTTTTTATGGATAAAAGACCTTTTTTAGGGTTTTTATCACATGTTTTTAGTCTCTTTGACAGTTTTTATTCATTCATTGGAGAAGTTTGCCAGACTATAGAAACAAACCAAAGGCCAGACGGTTTTAATCAGTGAAGCAAAGATGGCGGATTATTTGTCCCGCAGAGACAGACGGGTGTGTCTCTGTCTTCCAGCCTGGTGTCTGCGCAGTGAAGGCGTCAGCTCGGTCCTGCTGGGAGTGTCCAACACGGAGCAGCTTCTGGAGAACCTGGGCTCTCTCAGGGTATCAGAACCTCAACGTAGACACGGTCAGAACCAAGTCCGGCTCAGATCCAGAGTCTGTAGACCACAGGAAGTGATGTAACGCTCTCCTGTCTCCCTGAGGACAGATCGTTAACGGGGAAGAAAGAAGCAACATGTCCTCCGCTCTGATGACCTCACTGAGCGGACCTGGTTCTGACTGTAGCCGTGGTTCTGATGCGTCCACCACCAGTAACTCCATCCTATTCCTCTGACAGGTCCTGACCCAGCTGACTCCGCCCCTCATTGCAGAGATGGACGCGTTGCTCGGCAACAAGCCACGAAACCCCAAGAAGGAGCGACGGAGCTGAGGAGGAGGAGGAGGAGGAGGGACCTTCATCAGGAGACACTGGAGGACAGACAGACAAGGAGTGGACAGTAGAGCCTCACTGTCCAGATGGGACTCTGGTCGCCATGGATACAGAGACTCTAGATGTTCTGACATAGATCCATCATTAATCACCTGAGCATCTGTGAGGATCTACATCTGCTGTCCAATCAGCTTCT